GAGTACAAAAAGAAATTTTTGGAAGCAAACTTTTGGGATATGTATGAATTGGCCCAGCATGTCGAGCAATATGATTATTTTCTCTAAGAAGAAAAGATCTCGAAATCTCTATCCCGATGAATGATTTAAAAGAATTCCACGGTCGGCTACGCATCGATCGAAGGCGAAGACTCTCAATACGTCAGCGTGGATGCGACCGAGATAGTGATAGATAAACCATACGTTTACAAGGCACTGACTTAAATTAATTCCAAGGATGCTAAAACCCACTCGGCCACTGAAGAGACGGCGAAAACATTGAAAGTTTACACTTTCGATATCACAGAGGTCTAGGCAATTTTCGACCAATTGTTATTAGCAAAGATCATCAAACTTCGGCCATGACATAATATTCCTAAGGCCGAAAAGCTTAAAGGAAAGACGTATTGCAAATATCATAACTTGACCAAGCATGCCACAAACAAGTGTGCCGTATTCCATAATGATATCCAGAGCTGGAAGGCAAGCTAAAATTCATTGAAAAACGAATGACGGTCGACACTGATCCATTCCCTTCGACAACAGTTGGCATGGTAGACGCCCATTTGCCTAAGAGCAAAGGGAAATGGAAGGTCGAGTTTGTTCTAGTACAACACGTCCCAAAGAAACATTCTTAGCCACGGCTCAAGATCGACCTATTTTCCAATGAACCACCTACCGAATTTTCGGGACCGACTGTAGTTGAATCCATGTCAGATTCCAGTGTAGAAGAAAATGACGGGCTGATAGTTTTGTGCAGTAATTGTAGAGCACGCGTTGTATTAACTGAACCCAAGGAGAAACTGCCTCAGACTTCGACATCATGGTAACAATCTACGGCCACGGCGACACCGCCGAATGAACCTAGTGAAGGCCAGCTCCGGAAAGTGTTCGATAGGCTCAGCCCCCAGAAACGGACGGACAGCCCTACCTCGGTTAGACGACGCCTTGATTTCGATGCACCATTTTATAATGAGGATTATTATTCACGTAATTCCAGTAGCTCAAGCTCATTAGCAAATCCAAAAACCTTCAGGCCGCTTGAACCACGTGATCAACGTTGGTACAGTTACAATTCTCCCACCGGCATGTATACTGCACTTTCCAAATCTCAGAAACGTCGACGTCAGCGTATCGATTGCATGGCTCGACGACAGCTGAAAGAGGCGGTAGGGACTGACTGTTTTGACCACTAAATGGCAGCAGAAAAAGGCGGTAGGGAGCGGAGATGACCGGCTAACCCTAACAATCATAGTCGAATTACAAGGGCAGAAGGAAACCAATCGCGACTTCGAAACTACAATCGAAGAGTCCGAGAAGCGCATCAAACTTCTCATTCGGCTCGGGGAGATGAAAGCTCGCTTTGAGCAGTTTAGGAAAGAGGTCGAAAGCCAACTTTCCCCATTACCTCCTAAAGAGCTGCTAATAAGAGTTCAGCAGAATCTACACCCCCCATTCCTCGGCGAATCTTTGGAATACATGAAAGAGTTTCACAAGAAATATTTTGCCAACGATACCCAAGGCGTGCCAAGAAGCTCTTGACATGGCACTAACTTGCCCCGATGCTGAACAAATCATCCAAAAAATCACCGATCTAGCGATGAAAGCTATATTCTAGCACATACGAGAGGCTAAGGTTCTCGGCTTCGAGGTTGACCCATATAGGGACATTGATATAGCCGAACTCCTTTTTTTCTCTCGAATACCTTCAACACCTTCAATATCACTTCGAAGTCTTCTTGGCTGTATCCTTATTCAGTTTAACGACCGATGAGAAAGATCGGGTGGCATGTTTGGACGCCTACCTAGATACAAGAGACGTTCGGATCGCATATGAGGATCGCGTTCGTAAGACACTACAGGGGTAAAATCAGACATCAGACGCAAGTGGGCTTAACAACGATAATCAAAAGGAAACAAGGTCGGATTACATGGCACAAGAGTAAGAGCATGTTGAAACACACGATAATCAAGCCGAGGATGCTCTAACGCACGATGCTATAGTTCTCAATAACCCGGAAGACGACAACCAGGATCCAATGGGCCTTTCAGTCATTGAGAATATGGAAATCAACATGGTCCATGTTCTACTTGCTGAATTCCAGCTAACTACACACCAACCAAATTCCTTGGATGTTGATGTGGTCACCCAGGAAGCAACACAAGTTGATTTCGTCACCGCCACTGAAGATGAGCCAGCAAACAATGACGATAAACTTAAAATAGCCCTAGCCATCTTGTTTCCCCGCTCTTTATCGGCTAATCTTCAGCATTTAAAACCCTTGTATGTCATGACCCACATTAAAGGTTACCCAATCTCTAAATTTTTCGTCGAATGCTGGGCAACGGTGAATATCATGCCTATATCTGTCATGAAAGCATTACGACGATCCAACGACGAACTCATTCCTTTAGGAATAACCATGAGCAGCTTCGTTGGTGACAAGTCTCAAACCAAAGAAGTACTCCCTCTAGAGGTGAACAATGTAGGTCGCAATCACATGACCGCATTTTTTATTGTCGACTCCAAGATCGAATATAATGCTTTGCTCGGTAGAGATTAGATTCATGAAACGAATTGCATCCCTTTTTCTTTATACCAAGTTCTCATTTTTTGGGACAGCAAATCTGTCGTGGTCCACCCAGCCGATAATCAACCATTTGAAACCAACATGATTCAAGCCCGCTATTATGACGACTACGTCAACTACATTACCCTACAAGGTATTAATAAGGATGAACGGCTGACTCAGATCTTAGTCCAAAAAACCATCGAGGTAAGCGCCCAGACTGTCCACCAGGATTTAGCAAGACTCGGCTTGACCAACTTGATCCATACCATTAATGATTGACGTCAAAGGCGAGAGGCGTCGGGCCACGGTTTCATCCACGATGGAACGTCTGCTGGCCCATTGGTATGTTATTTCCAAGCACCCACATTCGGGCATCAACTTAATTGAATTTTTGGCTGAGGAAGATAACGGCCCAGTACTGTCATTAGACAAAGTTCAGGCCGCACCAGCCGAACTCGAAGATAGTCAACCCCAAGTTAAGGACCCCTTAGAAGAAATAAATGTCGGAACGACCGATGACCCTCGGTCGTTATTTATTAGTGCATTGTTACCCCATGACATGAAAGTCAAACTTTGTCAATTACTCAATGAGTTTAAAGATTGTTTTGCTTGGAGTTATCATGAGATGCCAGGTCTTAATTGGTACCATCGTTGAAGTCTACATCGACGATGTGGTCATCAAATCAGTACAGCGGCAGACGCATTTGGATGACCTTCGTCAGGCATTCATGCATATGCGCCGATACAATCTGAAGATGAATCCCACTAAATGTGCTTTCGGTGTATCAGCTGAAATTTTTTTAGGCTTCCTCGTACATCACCGTGGTATTAAGGTTGACGACAACAAGGCTTGCACAATCATTAATGCTCTACCACCGACGACTAAGAAACAATTGCAGTCATTGCTTGGCAAGATCAACTTTCTTTGACGATTTATTGCTAACTCGGCCAGGAAAATGAAAGCTTTTTCCATGCTTTTAAAACTCAAGGACTCCGACACCTTCGAATGGCGTGCCAAACACTAAGAGGCGTTCACGCAGATCAAAGTTTCTTTAACGACTCCATCCATCCTCGTTTCACCATAACGAGGTCACCCTCTTAAGCTATATATCTTGGCGACCGAAGAATCCATCAGTTACCTTCTTGCAAAAGACAATGACGCCGGGCGAGAACAAGCCATCTTTTACCTCAGCCAAAACCTCAACCCACCAGAGATTAATTACCCTGTTGTCGAGAAGCTCTGTCTTGCCCTATTTTTTACCGCGTCAAAACTCAGACATTACATGCTCCCATCAGTAACTTAGGTGATCGCCTAGACTGATGTCATTCGTTACATGCTCACTCAACCGATCATAAAGGGCCAAATCGGCAAGTGGATGATGGCCCTTTCTGAATTCAGCTTACAATATGTCCCCCAGAAAGCTTTCAAAGGTCAAGCTCTAGCCCATTTTTTGGCCCAACACCCTTCCCCGTATGAGTTCGAGGGCAATGACGTTGACATTGGCCAGATACAAACACGTGATAATTACTGGACGATGTACTTTGATGGTTCCAGTACTTCAGTCTCGGCTAGCGTAGGGATCGTTATTCAATCCTCCACTCATAATCGTTGGTATTTTTCTATCAAGCTCGATTTCGAGTGTACAAATAATCAAGCCGAATACGAAGCCCTTGTTATTAATCAACTCAACGGGATTTTTTGTTGCATGAATTGTACTCTGGCGCCTTACCACATGGTTGCCAACTATTTGGCAGAATCCTTCGACGGTGTAACTTTTAAACACATTTCACGAGTTCATAACACTGACGCCGATGAATTGGCTCAAATAGCCTCTAGAACCCAACTTATGGGGGGCAAATTAGGTCGAGAAATACCTGTGTCACGACAAGCACATTCGGCTTTGATTAATCAGCAAGTTCTCCAAAATGATTGCATGATCCATACATGGGTCATGTCTTTACCTTCGTTGTTAGAACGAAAGGACACTATTAAGGTTTGTGCTGTCGAGGCATTACCAGACGATTGAAGAAGGACGATTATGCGATATATTGATAACCCTAACGAAAAACATGACCGACAGACAAGGGTTCATGCCACAACACTACATATTATACCAAACTGAGCTGTATCGAAAAGGTAAGGATGGGTTACTGTTACTGTGCCTCGGCCCGTAAGAAGCTGTTCAAACAATGGCAGAAGTACACGAAGGAATTTACGGAGCTCACCAATCTGGACAGAAAATACGTTGGTTGCTTCGATGACAAAGCTATTTCTGGCCGAGTATTCTGAATGATTGTATTGAGTATGCAAAAGGGTGTGTACAATGTCAAATCCATGGAACTATACAGAGAGTACTGGTCGAATCATTACATTTGGTCATCAAACCATGATCGTTCCGAGGATGGGCCATGAATGTTATCGGTAAAATCACACCATCGTCTGGTGCAGCCAAACATGAGTGGATACTTGTTGCAACGGACTACTTCACCAAATGGGTCGAAGCCAAGTCATATACCAAGCTAACGTTTAAGGAAGTTTGTAGTTTCATTGAAGAAAACATTGTGACTAGATTCGACGTGCCAGAAACAATCATAACGGATAACGGTACAATTTTTACATCCGACAGATTTAAGGACTATGCAGCAAATCTAAAGATTCGACTCGAGCAATCTACGCCATACTACCCTCAAGCAAATGGACAAGTCGAAGCAAGTAATAAGGTTCTTATTGGTATTCTTGAAAAGATGATAAAAGAGAGGCCAGGCATGTGGCACTTAAGGATAAATGAAACGTTATGGGCTTATCGAACCTTTCTATGGACAGCCACCGGAACGACTCCGTACGCGTTGACTTATTGACACAACGCAATATTGCCCATCGAGCTAAGTATAAACTCTTTGCGAATAATTGAACAAAGTAATTTGTTCAGCGCCGAGTACAGTCAAGCCATAAGACAAGAGATAGAAGATTTAGAAGAAGCTCGGCTTGATGCTTATAACTTATTAGTGGCTCAAAAGAAGATCGCCGAGCGTGCATATAATCAACAAGTTAGATAAAAAACGTTCGACGAATGAGAACTGGTTGGCAAACCATACTACCCGTAGGAATTAAAAACCCAGGTTCGGCAAGTGGTCGCCGAATTGGGAAGGGCCATTCGTTATTCATAAAGTCCTCGGCAATGGGGCATACCATCTTAAAGATCGAACCGGTATTGTTCATAAGTTGCCAATCAATGGAAGGTTTTTAAAGAAATACTATCCAGTCATATGGGAGATGCGAGAATAAAAGTTCATTTCATTAAGTTCATTTTATTGGTCGATCAGTTTACAATTAAATAATTCTAGGGTGATGAAGGAAGAAGAGATTCAAGAATAGCCTTCAGCTCCAACCACCTCACCTCGTCCATCGTGACCTCAGCTTGCCGATTCCTTTTGTCCATCTTCAGCCGCTCGACTCACTTCACGCTCGTCGCATATTCGGTCAGGCAAGATTTACCGCCCGACTCAAAATCCTTCGTAAGCTCAGAAGTAATTCCCGACCTTCGATTTTGAAGTTCGATAATTTGACGGTCAAGGTCAGCCAGGGTCTTCTTTTTCACCTTTAAAACTTCGACCTTCGGACGAAGAGTGTCTCGAACAGTTGTTGCAGCTTTCAAGTCATCATCAGCCCGAAGAGCTTTCTCGAAAATACTGAAATATTCTCAGGTCCGTTCCAAGGCGGACGACACTTGAACGATAACTTCTCCGCTCAATTGACCATCAGCTCTGAGATCGTTCAGACATGCACTCACCAAATCAAGGCCCTTGCGCTCGAGGACTTGCGAAGCTGAGAGAGATAAAAGCTCCTGCAACCGAACGAGAATTGTTAATTCGGCAGGTTCAGTCGTAGCCGCTGAATGACCAGCCACTCCCAAATTGCTCGATAGGAGATCATCAAATTCGACTTCCCATGAAGGCTGCACATGAAAATAGTTTAGGCGCATGGAACTGCTACTTAATTCACGCGGCCGATGAATGTTATCTATGTTTGATGGCTACTAAGGTGGCCAGGAAATATAGATAACGCCTTTCGGCGCATAAAATTCTAGGTGAAATGAATAACTGGGCACCTGACAGTTAATATTTTCTTGGTTCAGATTTGTTACAACAGAATTAACAAGAGAAAGTAATCAAGCCTTACAAAAGTCGAGGTCACTTCTTGAGAGGGGATGCCGAGGTCTTAGTCCTGCTGGTGAACTAGAGTTTCAGGCGTCGCTTCAAGCTCGACGAAAGGTCATTTTCCACGATCGGTTATTGGATGATCGACTTGATCAGCCGCCTCAACCACAAGAGGGAGGTCGATGGAAGAAGGTTCAATTGGTCAAAGGCAGCTCGATGGCAGAATCTCGTCGCTCTCGTCATCCTAAGATAAAATAGCTGTCAGCACTTTCGAATTTAGTGAGTGAAGGGAGTTTGCCAGCATAATCATACATCTTCCAAAATGAATGTCGATTGTTTTGGATTCTTGGGAAGATTCTTCTCGATTAAAGAGGTTGTCTCCCCCAAAACATGAGCTCCAGTCGGCCCCGGGGTTACAGGCGTCTCGACCAATGGGATAGCAACTGGATCGACCACGACCCCGATGACTTTAGGAGCCGGGTGAGTTTGAGGGGTCATGCCGGTTCGAGTTGGCCGGTTCTCCGATGATGCCTCGATAATAAGAGCATGAGGGGAGGTGCTAGGAGCGGTCGTTCCGGTAGTATGGCTGGAGATAACATGAATCTCCCAGGCTCCCTTCTTCACCAGTTTCTTGACACGTTTTGGGGGACGGGGGGCTTCACCTGCCGTTTCGGCGTCCGGGTGAAACCGTTTGCATAGTGTGTTTTGAGCGACGGATTTGGATTTCTTAGAGGAAGGGGCCAATTTTTTCTTGACCATAACCGGGGTGACCACGTCTACTTGTTTCAGTACCCGGCCAACTGAGAAAGCAAAATCTCGTTAGCAAAATAGTCCAAGTATTTGAAGAATAAAGGTAAAGACAATCGTATACCTTGGGGCGTTTCTTTAGATTGAGAAGTAGAGGTTTTCTTAGGCCGATCATCAAAAATCTTGTTGACTACGTCCTCGGTCGAAGTGCCAAAAAAGTCGTGGGTATATGCTTCCCACCAGTCGCTGAAAGTGTTGGTGCCGAGAGATTCAGGAATAGTTGGTCAAAGGCGGAATTTCTTACACCATTCCTGAAACTCTTTCTCGATGTCTCTTCACTCCCTTTCGGATGAGCCAGATATGCGTTCTCGATTTAGAAGGGAATGGGAAGTAAGTAAAGGCATCAGGCAACCTTGGAGGTAGCCAAGTTGTCGGGCAGCAAAGTGGGGGTGGTAGACTTCCCGGCTTGCCCGACAAGCATCGCAACCGAGGGGAAGGTCACGAGTTAACACGAACAACCTCCAATTTTGACGAAAATCGGCATCTTCATTTTCGTTCCAGGTGATGGAGTAGGGTGTTCCTGACGATGACATACCAAGAATTCATCGTTGAAAATGACATCTAGGCTAAAAAAGTGTTTAAAATTTCTTCAGCTCGGTGAGGAAGCACTGGTCGAGGAGCCAATTGAAGGCCGAGTGCCGCAGTAGATTGGAGGTTGGAGATTTCTGGCCGAAGGGTGGAGAAATAGACTTGTAGCCAGAGTTGGAATACCTAGAGAGGTCCATTCTGGTGTGGGTCGATCTTATTGGCAGTTGTCTCAGCGAGGTAAGGCAGAAGACTAGCAATGATAACTGGACTGAGTGTCAAAGAATGACCACTAGCTAGAGCCTCCGCCACATGCATATTTTCGATCAGACACTTATTTGACTTGGTACAACAGATGAATTTTTTGTACCAATAAAATAGGAAAGCTTCATGTTCGCATCTCCACAGATTCGTGTCCTCTCGACCAGCAAAATGAAGGATGAGGGTGTTGTAGTTCAGAATATTCTTGTGCAACTTTTGAACGTCCTATTTTGAAGGCTGTTGACTTTCTTGGCTCAACGTATCGACAGCTTCTTCGTTGAACAACATTTTAAGGTCGAGGTTGGATGGGCATCCAACAAGGGTGACGTTTATTGGCATGCCAGAATGAGGAGTTCCGAGGATGGCCGAGATGTCGAGGATAGTGGGGGTCATAGGGCCAAACGGAATGACCATGGTGTTGGTAGCTGAGCACCAAAAGCTTAGAGCCGCCATGAGAAGTTTTTTATCCATGGTAATCTCCATGGTCGAGAGCTTGATGGCATCATAGATACCAAGGGCTTCTCATTTTTTGCCAAAGAATTTCTCCATTCGTATGACCCAGGCCACCCAGTTCGCATTGGTTGAAGGCCAGGCTCCTTGGGCTTTGTCTGGCACCACTTTGACCAGTCAAATCCTTGCAGCAAATATGACAGGCAGTGTTTTTTGAATAGTTTTGTGATGGATGACGGTACTGTGCCTTTAAAGAGTGGGCCCATAATTTGGTGAGTATTGTTTAGGTCACTCTCGAAACGCAAAATCTTGATGGCGTTTCGATTTATGAAGTCTTTGCACTTGTCGCACTTGGTGGAGAGTTTTGAAATGAAATAGGCCATTGATGAAGGCTTAAAGATTTTTGAGATGAAAGCTTAGGATTTTCTAATTTATGGAGGTTTTTTAAAATAAAGTGATGAGGAAATTTCAAGGGTTTGGAAAGCGTAAGGTACAAACGGAAGGAATTCGGGTATTTAGAGGCATTTGGAACGGAAGGCTAAACGTTTGATTTTCAAAATCAAGGGTAGAATCAAGCGGGAGAATCACTAATCATTATACATGCTCAGAGAATCAAGGTGAGAAGACCAAAGTTTTCGCGGTTTGAGGACTCACGATGGCGTGTTGTGGCGGGTTTAGTGCAAAAGAGGCGTTTCGGCGGTTGCATGTTTTCGAGGATCATGATTGAAGGCTGCTAGGGTAATCAGGGTGCTGACATATGGCAAGACAGTTGGGAAATCGGGATCGTGGGGTTACGTCTCATAAATGCACATGGTGGTGTTTCCTAAGAGTCAGTTTCACTTCTTCAAGGTCGAGGCTCGAACCAAGGAATATGGGTTGATGACCTCAGAAGCGAGGGGGCATTGTTTGGGCCCAAAAATATTGGTTTGGGCCGAGTTCAGAATTGTTCTTCGCCCAGTATTGGTTAGGCTAAGTGTAGAATTGTTCTCGGCCTAGAGGCCGTGTCTAGGTGTCGTTAGGGGTTATCCAGCTCATGGGCCGCTCAGTCGAAGCTGGCCATATCTCGTCAGGAACCTATGGGATGTGGTTGAGTCCTATTACGAGAAGGAGTTTCGACAGGATAAGGATGTTGGAGTTTGAAATTAAATGCGGCCTGATAACGAGTTAAGTTCAAAATCCAGTAGGAGTAGGACTAGCCGAGATAAGGTTGGATCAGGGAAATGAGTTCAAATCCAAAAATGATTGGGATTCAATACAACACTACTATAAATAGGGAGGGAGGACATCGAACAATGCATCTCCAATTCAACACACAAACTACCATGCGCAAACCCTTGCTCTACGCGAAACCTCTCAACAACCTTGAGATTTTTATTTTCCTTTTTCGCCAACACATCTTCAGTTTGGATAAACAGCACTGTGAAGGCAACTGGTGAGCATCTTCAGTTTGCATAAACAGCATTATTGCTGTAGAATCAGCTGACTGCGAAGCACTTTTAGTTTGGATAAATAACACTGCGACGAGGCCGACTAATTATCTATCCAAGTCTCAGCCGAGAAGGATTTTCAAATCCTTATTGGCAGAGGTCATCTCATTAGCCTTCCCGGTAAAGTGAGGTGTTTCGAATTACTGGGCTCGGCACGTTGAACACCGAGTT